CTGAAACTCTGATCTCATCTCCTTCCTTCATTTGGTGAGCGCTTCTCTAAAGGTTGCGAAAGTTCCGTAAAAATATCATACACAATCTTTCATTTACTTATCAAAGTTAACTCAATAAACTAAGAAGCTACAATACCGCCCATACTTCTGCAAAAAAAAAGGATTTCACACAAAAATCCGTCGCGACGGGATAATCCGTCGCAAAGCGTCGCATCGTCATAACTTCTTTCAAAATAGATATTTGCTATAGGGAAAAGTGGCGTTAGACTCAGCTCATTGAGAGGAATCTTTCAGTATGTCACACTACGGTAATATCTGTGGTATATGATAGGCTTACGGTAAGAGGTCAACATCGCGAACCTGTCTAAAACTTCGCCTAGGAGGGTTATCTGGTACGCTGATCAAGAAAAAACTATCCATTTCTTACAGTAGCGACTTAATGTAAAGATACGGTAGTCGTGTGTTAAGAGGTCGCCATCGCTACTCCGTTTATTTCGCTTAGAGTGATTATTTCATACCCTGATTATGAAAAAGCTATCCATTTGTCGCAATCGCATCTTATCGTAAAGGTAGGTAGCTATACGATGGGACATCATTCGCGGTTACGTCCAAAATTCCTCCTAGTTGGGTGAATAAAAACGCTAATTACGAAGAATATTGTTTATCTCGGTGATGCTTAATGCAGAGATACGGCTTGCAAAACCAATTTCAAAATAATGCAAATTCTTCTTAGGCTGCCTTAAAATCTTTTCTCTTTAGCTTACAAAGGACGACCTTTTCCTTTATGGTCAGAGGCACTTTTTCGGGGGTTTCTAGCTAAACTACATGGAAGCGTCCCGTGAAAGTTCTTCTAGAAACGTTTGAGACTTAAAAGTTGCTGATATAAATTCTCTAAATAGCGTAATGAACTTCTTTTTTAGGCACATTTATACGAATTCATAGTCTGAATCATACTGTATAGCTGTCGCATCCCCACAATAAGGCGCTACCGTGCAGTACAGATCAGATACGTTGTTTGTATCCAGAATATCAATTAACTACAGTAGACCAATTTTCAAGCAAATCCGTGATTTTGCCTTCCGGTCATTCACCTACCGTAACTCCATAGTAAGGCCCTACCGAGTGAAGCTGATACGATATTAGTGATCAGCATGGTAAGTAAACCCAATAGGCGAAGTTCCAAGGAGATCTGAAGCTTTGACATTTTAGGGCAAAAATTAGTGTCTATGTCGCCTTGAGCATAACTGTGTGACATAATCGATCGATACAA